AGTATCACAGTCATGATTTAGCCATTACTTTTTATTGAACCGTACTGAATTGATTTGAAATATATCAAATTGACCCGAAAGTGCATCGTATCATGGTCTGTGTATCAAGATATGTATTGTATCTCCAACTTCTTAATGATACAAAGCCGTAAATCGAATGCTATTAGATCTTAAGCCTAAAATTGGAATATGGAATTATGTCAGAATCTTTTCTAGTCTCGTTCTCGTGGGCCCAGTCACGTATCTGGTCTCATCTTGTGGAAATTGCGTCTCTACCATCTCGTATTTTGATGCATGCTTTGTGGGGCTGCCGTCTGGTGACTCCAAAATGGGTGAAGGTATTGGACTACATGCAGGGCTGCTTGTCTTGTGACCCGTCGTCAGGAGACAAAGTGCCCTTTCTAAATAAGTCTGTATTTTGTATGCTAAGTATAAGTATTGGACTGGTAACTTATGAGGGACTGATGGACACGAGGAAGGAGTCAAACTATAAAGAAAGACAAGAGAATATTATACTAGTAGAATGCTGCAAATTTTCAATTCTGTTACGTTATTTAAATTTTATTTTACCAGTTAAAAAGGTTGGACACACTTCACTCATTCAATGTTTTTTGTTTTTCTTTATATTTACTACCTTCTATTTTAGATACATACAGAAGACATCATATATGAAGCAAAATGTGTGGAATTATGTAGTAAAGAAAAAAAAGTTACATAAAAGGGAGGCTACTTTGAGGATTTGATTATGATCAGGGTTCCCACTTTTCTAAAATTTCAAAACTTTTCCAAGATTTTATCATGACCTAAAGTAAATTTTCCATGACTTTGTAGAATTAATCATACTTTTAGGGTTAAATATGAAATGTTAACCCTTTCCACTCATCTTATGGTTTGGTATTATAGTGTTTTAACATTCAAAATCCTGTCAGTGCACTTATTGTCGTCTCTTTTAAACAGACGTTCGGAAATAATCATAATAGCCTCATGAGAACTTAACAGAACACTGTAGTTGTGCGAAAGAGATACTAAAATTCTATGACTTTTCCAGGTCAGGAAAATGACATTTTCAATATCCATGACTTTTCCAGGGTTGCCATGACCGTGAAACCCAGTATGAGGTATATGTGTGTGTGTGTGACTCATATATTTCATTTCTTCTATATGTATATAAAATATAGAAAGTAGTAAACATAAAGGAAAAAAAAAAACATTGAATGAGATGGTGTGTCCCATCTTTTGACTGGTTGTGTATATAAAAAGTGAAATGATAATAATAAAAGAATGTCCAACGGCAATAACATTTGAAGACTGAAATATGAACGAATGAGCTGATCATACAATTTCAGACCGTATATGCAGAGATCTAAAATAAGTCTGTGGAATTTGTGAGCTGTGACCATTCAAAAGGTTATCCTGAGTCGATACATATTACAGCCCTGTAGTCCTGCTGGCCGGCCTCCCCACCAACCAAAGCCCATGCTGTCCTTTACATGGCTGAGCTCCGTCACAGTATGGAATCGATGGGAGAGCCTGAACGAGAGAAGAGCAGTCGTGTCGTCTATTCTGCTCTCAAATACAATACGGAAAATCCTGCTTCTTCATCAGACTTTTTTTTTGGACCCAGGCTGTATTTTTTTCCAGGCGTAAAGTCTTGCCCTCATGGTTATGGAAGTATAAAACCAGCTTCCAAGACCAGTGAATCCATCAAGCGAAAGACTCTTGGATGGAAAAAGAAATACAAAGCTAAAGATAAGAGATTGTACTTATATTATTGCTCACATTTTCTCCTCTTGATTTAGTCTGAAGTTAGCTTTAGTCCTTTCTATCGCTGCGAAATTGCACCATGGCACAGAAACTTCCTTAAAGTTCTTCAATCTCTGCTACTATTTGTTTTATTGTCTCTCTTGAAAATGCCCGATGACAGACAATCAAGAGTTTGAGATAATATCATCAGGCAGTTGGTTCCCCTTGGTTCGTAGTTACGTACTTGAGGCCGAGACAGATATTTGTAAAAATCACAAAACTTTTTCTTCACTGAAATGAAAAGTCATCTGGAAGAACAAATCCTACCAACAGTTAGGAGCACACGTAAGAACAGAAATTCTACTGTTTTAGAATATTATTACTCTGATAATGCAATAAAAAATTCTGATTCCTCCATGATTGTAAGTTATATATTTTATTAAATTATTTCTTATAAAAATATTACTATGTGATCCAATAACATTTATGAGGTGTTTTGTAGTCTAGGTAGTCCATTGGTAGTCCATCACTCTCTCCCTCGCACTTTCACTTGTCATAATGCCAAACACATACTAGCCATATTTGGAAGTTCAGAGGGTGTTTCTAACCAAATACATATGAGTTTTCTATGTAAATGAAATGTAAATGTGCGTGGAGGTGTTTGTAGCTGGATGATGTTCAATTCGCGACTGTGACTTAAGAAGGAATTCAGCTTCTTAAGAAAGCTTTGTGAATCTGGGGCAGAGTTTTCTCAGCATCTTCTTAAAGTGGAAGATTTTTTAAGAAAAGATTCATGAATGAGGCCCATTGTTTTCGGTTGAATGAAAAAAGGTGGCTCTGTAGCTTCTGTATTAGAAGATAAAATGAATAGATATTTTACTGTCAATTTGTTTCTTATTTCACAACTCTTCACCATACAATGCATTATGAAAGAGTATTTATCTCAACAGGAACACATTAAAATCAGGTATAGGCCCTTTCTTGAAATCTGCAGAACATTAAAAAGTACATAAGCTCATTTAGTTTTGTTTCTATTACAAATATGTAGGGTTGTGCAATTATTTCAGTCATTTATAATTTTCAAAGATCAGTCATGATTCTTCAATTTGTCAGCAAAAACACACCTTTGCTCTTACGGTTTACAAAGGGTACTACAAGTCACAACAGAATCTGTTTTGCCAGAGCTTTAACCTGCAGATAGAGGACACATACAAGTTTGTCTCATTCAGTCTATGGACAGCTAATGCAGCAGCAGAGGCACTGATTCATGTTTGGCTGCAGGCGCCAGGCAGGGTTTAAATAGTGATCATTCAGATCAAAGAGAGGCCTTTTAGGTTTAAACCAACTGGATTTCAGCATTGGAACTGGCAACAAATGAGACCTGTGACTAGGGGTGTGTAAAAATATTGACATATCGATATATTGTATAGTTTAGTTGAAGATACTATATTAGATAGATAGTATTTTAGGTATTTATTTACTAAATTATCTTCTGTAAAAGCTACAAATGTGTTTGTCATTTTCACTGTTTTGATATGTAAAATGGATGTTTTTTGTATTAACTTTGTACAAAATTAGTGGACTTCGTAGACTTTTAGCATCACCTCTGTAAGAGATTTTAAGTAATTTATCTTCCACGTTCATCTCAGTTTAACATTGACACAAAAGCTATATTTACACCATGACCTTCCCTTGGCACACCATTGGCATACCATTATCTAAATTGTGGCATATTGCTGACTAACTGGTGTCTACTGGCCTTCATAGTCTCACCACTTGCTTTATAAACCTCCTCCTCCGGAAGCATAGTAAAAGGAGCTTGTAACACTAGAAGATCATACTATGGTCACTTTTGAAATCATACTATGTTCACTTTTCATATCCCCCCTGGGCCAGTATTATTGATGGTAAATAAACTTCTCCTGCATAAGACGTACAGTTGGTCTCCAGCCTTTTACTTCCACCCTTTCTTGGACAAGCTGAAAACTTCAACAACAACAGCCATGATTTAGCCTTTGTTTTTTTGTATCAAATCAATTTGAAGTATATTGTATCGAAAGAAAAGTGCACTGTATCGAAAAACGTATCGTATCGTGGCCTTTGTATCGAGGTATGTATTTTATCGCCAACCCTAATTGTGACACTAATTATGATTGGATCGTCTTGAGAACCAAAAGATCATGTCACCATGTCCATTCTTTTTGTAATTAAAAATAAATCAGCATTAAAATTATTATCAGTAAAATCTGTATTTATTTTCAACATGTCTACCTTGTATCTGGGTCATGCCATTCAAAGGCCATTTAAAGGTGTGTTGTGTAACTTTTCTGGCGGAGGGTCCGTCAAATGCTTTTCCCCATGGAGATGTTAATGCTTTGTCTGGAATGTTTCACAGTATAGCATTAACCTTTGTATCTGCATGGAGACCAAACCAGACCAAGTTACAGGTCAGATTTGTGGAGAGTCAACCCCGTTCACAGTCGATATTTTTGAGCTATAAAACCACCTGTAATTGAATAAATGTAAGGCAAAACTGTTTAATGTCATACTGTGGAACATTCCAGGCAGAGCGACGACATATCCATAGAAACAAGCAGGTGACAAACGCCCAGCTTAAGCTACATGGTGCACCTTTAAGTAGAGGAAAATATTGTTTTTAATATGACTAAGGAAAGGACTTTGAGGAAAGGAATGTTTAGTAACACCACTCTACAAATATGCCTAAAATTACTCCTAGATGACATAGAGAGAATAGGCTCTATTCACGATTACCGGAAGACATTTGGAAACATGCGGATGTCAACTTCCGATGTAGTTACCGAAAATGGGCATGTGATAAAACCATGGATTCAGCAGAGGTGTTCACAACCTGCCAAAGCTTTCCATGGGGGACGGACTCCATTTGTTAGCTTTTAATAAATTATAATAGAAAAATTATAATACACAAATGAATAGGCAATTTATAAAAGGAAAAAAGAAAGAATACACTGACAAAGATGAAGAAAACTGGGCCTTTTTCTCTGTTTTCCCAGATTTTTTCAGAGTTAGTATCGCCAACAGAGCCCAAAGGAAGTCGTCATCCGCATGTTACCAAACGTCTGCCGGTTTTGTGACGTAAGCGTGAATAGAAATACTGTAAAAGAATATAATTGTGAAGCGCAGCGTAGTTCATATTGACAGTTGTTTACATCCATGTGTGTTGCCATTTTATCGTCTCCTGTCCTCATTTACACTGTGGGTGCTGTGTGGAGCCTTACCACCCGCAGCAGCCGCCTCTGCTCCTTGAAGGTGGCGCAGCAGCCCAGCACGCCTGTTACCATGACGATGGCTCCGGCCAAGATCAGGATGTAGGCCGAGGCCGCGTACGTCTTGGAGGGCAGCAGGCTGATGTAGTCGGTCTTCTCCACCAAGGTCCACACGCCCACAGCCATCACCACACCGCCCGCCAGCTGACAACACATCGCACAGACATCAAGAACAGGGCTGTCAACGGTACTGAAAATCTGATACTAATCGATATCCAAACTAGAAAATAAAATAGCAAAAAAAAATAACAACAAAAAAAAAAAAACAGAAATTAGCCTTTCCTGAACAGTTTTAGAATGATCTTGAGATGTATCAGAACAAGTATAAGAGCACATAGACTACTGTAGTATATGAGGGATTACACACATATAAATATAAAGAACACATGGTAATATAAAGGTAAGATATAATGCTGAAAATCACATTCTATAGTCTAAAGAGTATTCTTAACCCTTCAAGGGCAATTTTACTACTTTTGTCCTCACCTGGATTCTTTTTCTTAATGTTGCTGTTAAAACTCCCCCTTTTACCCCCTAAGGAAATGATAAACATCCTTTTTACAACCTGTTATTTCACAATCTGCATGCTGAAGTTGTGTCATATGGCTGTAATAAAGTCTATAGGACCAGAAATACAAATTGGGAAAAAAAAAAAAAAAAACACACACACAGCAAACATGTAACTTTTTGAACATGAAAAGCTTAATTTAGGGTCTTACCTTCTACAGTGCAAAATCTCAAGTCTACACTCTTTGGCAAAGTTTGGCCCAATCAAAATGGATGGAGCGCATGAGTTTGGTGAAAACAAAGTTCCAATTGGACACTCATTTTCCTTACATCATCACGCAGCATGTGACGTAGGATAATGCCGGAAATCTGCTCAAAAAGTCCCAGCTTTTCAAGGGAAAATAATTTAGTTTCTATCTTTTATGGTTGGAAAGTTATGTGCGGTTATATAAAACATATTCCCAAGGTATTGTATACAATACTGTCTGTCTGAAAGGGTTAACCGTCATCGTGCAATCAGAACTAGTATTGAGGATCGAGTCTATTCCATAGTAGTGAAACAGAGTCAGGTACTAGGATTTCTGATGAGCAGGGGCCATAAAATTCACAGTTTGTTGTTACAGCTCCATAAACTTGCCATATTAACCGACTATGACTTGGCCTTTCAACTGGCAACAATCACATCTTTGGGTTTGAATACGGGCACCACTTTCATTTTCATTTTTGTTTGTTTATTTTGACAGAGAAGACACTGAACATGCGACAGCCACTAGTTAGGTGGACATAAAAGAGCATTCAATCTGAAACTCCTGTATAAGTCTGCACAGGTAAGTCTTGGTCTGACTGAGTGCCTTTTCTCTGCTACCACCAGGGGGCAACGCCGCACAATGATACAAAAGGCCACCACGCATAGCGGCAGTGAAGTGAGCGTGTGCTTGCGTATCCACTGCGATGTCTCTATGTTAGGTTTTGTTTCTTAAGAATAAACTCAGTAAGGACAAAGTTCAATGTCTTCTCTGTCAGTATAAATAAACAAAAGTGAAACGATTATGCACTAGCTTCAGAAAGTGGGGCCATTATTCAACCCCAAAGACATCTTTGTTGTCAGTTGAAATGACTTTATCATTATTAAAGATTGGGTCCACAAACCCAATGTCTTAATGTTCATTGTTTGTGAAAAAATAAAAAATAAAAAAATCAGTAGGGCTCTAGGCCATTTATTCATTTAGTTGATTAACTGATCGATGGTGTCTTAATCATCCAAACTTTTTATGAGTGATCATTTTATTTAGATTATAAGGATTTGTAAGGGACATCAGCAGAAAGGAGAAGTGAGTGAGTTAGCTAAAGATTTGGGATTTTGGGGGGATCTATATGTAAAAAGGCAGATTAAGCTCACAATTTACAAGTTTAAAGACACAAAATACACACAGATAAGTAATAGTTTTGAGAGTTTTACAGTACAATAATACCATCTCTAATTGGGCAGTAAGATAAACACATTTGCCTGATAATATATTTAGACATGTGGAGGTGAAAAGTGCCTAAAAGAGGAGTGTTTATTCTAATTAGAATGAACAGGACACAATCAATGTTGAGTGGATGCTTTAGTGCGTGTACAGGTAGTGTCATGACTGATCTGTTTAAAGAGTCTGCAGACAAGAGGACACACACAGGGACGGGAGGAGGGGAAGAGGAGGAGGAGTGGGACGAAGAAGCAGTCACTGTGACAGACATGTCAATCTGAGCACATGTCTCGAGTAGAGTTACTTAAAGTAGACATATTGTACTTGTGTCTCCTCTGTAGTTCTAATGTATGACACTTGTGGATCATTATGTTCTATTTCAGACATTTTAAACAGTGATATTAATCACAACAAACGTCATCACAACAAAGCGCCGCATGCTGTTGGACACTCATATAGATGGATAGCAGATTTTTTTGTTCATTTGTGCTACATGACGCTGCCGAATCCTAGCTTTATCACAGGTTAAGAAAATAAAATTAGAGAATGAAGGAAGTACAGAGTAGTAGTAGTAGAAGATGAATCACTCTAAACACAACTTAGAGATGGTGAATGAGATGGGAAAGACCAATAACATGGTTACAAGCTCTGAAGTCGATTTTCACAGTATGACTATAGGGAATGTGTCTATAGCTCAATATCAAACTATTACTTATGCTTTTTTGCTTTTGACATTGACAACATATTATAAGCTGTTATTATATGTTATATATGTTATTATATGTTATACATGTTATAACCTGCGCTAATACATTTTATGGTAGGTGTATCGGAAGAATAGTAATACTTGTTTTATTAGGTCCAAATGACAAAAGAACATGATGTTGAAGTCTCCACATCCCTGCTATTAGTCAATGAACCAAAGAAGATGGCGTTTTGACAGTCAAGGCTGAAACCAATATGAGGAACAATAGTGACATCTGGTGGATGTTAAGTGTATACCAACAAAGCTCTAAATATAAAATGTTGTCATCCTTAATTCTTTCATTCGTCCACAGTTTGAGTAATGTAAATAATCTTTAACACTTTGATGGGGTATTTGATGCAAATATTAAAGCGACATAGATTATTAAATATGAACTAGAGGTGGATGGGGGTGTGGTGGGAGGAGGCTGTGTCAGACCAGTGGCAGTGTTTTGATGAGCTCTGGGGTCAAAAATAATTGATTTCTGAGTTTTTGTCTTCACCTTATCATTTTCATTTTGTAAAAAAACCCAAAAACATTTCATTAAATAATGTCTTGTTTTCTTGTGAACTAAGGTGGAAATGTATCTTTTAAAAAGACTAGGGATGCACCAATCCAGCCTTTTTTTCAGTTCTGATACAGAGACTTTTAATATTAACCAGTATCAACCAATACCAGTGTAGGGATGGAACCATCCCAATATTTCCTTAAAACACAGTTAACTTATTACACCAGAGATTCAGTTGTGTTATGTAACTGTTAGATATCCTTCACATAAAAACTTAAACAAATCACCCTGTAAATAGTCTTATTACATTCAATTAAAGACAAAACCAGGACACTGACTGAATCAACATCATGGAACAGATACACCATCCAACTCATTTACCAGTACTGGTAACAGTGCATCCCTGTTTTAGACCTGGTTTAGATCTGGCAGTACTCAGAAAATCAAAATCTTTTCTTTGGTGGTACTTGCTGGGAAACGTTTAAGAGCCAAGGGTGTAGAGTCATTTTTTAAAAAAGGTAAAACGATATTTCTGCTCTTTTGGGGTTAATTCTATAGCCCATTTATATTTAGTTCAAGCACAACATTTGCAGGCCCATTTTAGCCCTTTTGTGAAAATATATTCTGAATATTGTAAATAAGCCACGGTAGAGTTTAGCTTAGCAGTTTGCTCACATCACACACGTCCCGTCTGTGAGCATTCAGACAGTGTTAGACGTGAAAGCCTGTGCTGTGTGACAGACATATGAAGAGCACATATGTGCAGCTCTGTGTGTGCTCACACTGAAGTCACAGGCAGCTGCCACCTCCTCACACAAACACTACTGCTGTGTGCTGTCTGCATTTAAGACAACTCTGTCATCATTCATAACACAATTCATTATGCTAGTATTAGATGACAGCAAGTGAAATGTGTTTATCTCCAGTATCAGCTCTGAGGGTGTCAGCATGCACTATTATTAGGGTGGTCTCTAGAAACATGTTTACCACACCCCCTGTTGGTGAATATTGTGCAAAACATTTTTCACCTTACAACATATCTCTATACATCAGCTAAACTCATACTATCATACTAGATTACAGTGATGAGTGTGATTGACAATTTCAACAGCTGAGTGTAGTTTTCTGATGTGCTACTTCTAGTCTCTAATCTGAATATCAGTGTGATCTTACATTAATAAACATTTTTGTGTTTCTTCAGAGTAAGGACAAAAAACGTGTTGTGAGTGTGGACACCTAACATATGGCTACTAAAATGGATCGAAACTATTGTCAAAACAGTATTTCAGAGCTATAATTAACATAGTGGAATGTTGAGAGGGCTGGTGCCATGAATGCATCTTCTGTGCTGCTTGGCTTCAGTGCAGAAGCAGTGGGAGAGGAATTAGAGACTTTTTTTTTTTTTCTAAATAATTATAGAGACACATATGAGGAAGCACTTGAAATCTGTTTGTTATGTTCACATAATGCATTATTATTTTGTTGTTTACACTGCCCAGTACTTCCTGCACATGACAAATGAACTTCAACTCTTATGATCCTTTTAGCTATAACTATGATGTGCCCAAATAAACAATTACCGTATTTTTCTAACTATAAGTCACACTTTTTTCATGGTTTGGGTGTTTCTTGCAACTTATACTCCGGTGTGACTTATATATTAAAATTTTCACACTGACAGCCGTGAGAGGCTCTAGGCTTGTGTATCAATTTTCTGCGCATGTCTCCTGCAGAAAGAGCCTCTGTCCTGCTGCAAGTAGTGAAATCTGCAGCAGAAAACGGTAATCGAGCAGCAGAAAGAAAGTTTGGAGTGAGCAAAAAACTTGTGAGGGCAGAAAGCGGGAATAAAGAACACAACTTCACAGCAACTGAAAAGGTGCACCATGCAACTTTCCTGGAAGTCATTGGATGACAAAGCCTGGACTTCAGTGACAACCTAAGTTGCGTTGAGTTGCTCAGAAGTGACACCGAGGATGAAGAATTCAATGGATTCAATGGATTTAGTGACTTGGAGTGAGATTGAGAGTTTGGTAAATTTATGTTGTTTATGCTCTTGCTATCTGAAGAACTGTTAATATGTTACGTGAACATATTAACACCTATTCAGTCTGTTGTTCTCTGTTTTATTGTTTTTACTAGAACTTGCCTTTCAAGATGAAATGTCGGTTCCTGGTCCCTGATTTTATAAAATAAATTTCCCCCAAAAAGTGAGACTTATAGTCCAGTGCAACTTATATATATTTTTCTTCTTCATTATGCTTTTTTTGGCTGGTGTAATTTATAGTCCGGAAAATACGGTAGATATATATTCTTATTCTCAAAATATGTTCGGTTTAGAGTACACACGTTTGCACATTAAGAATTAAATAATTACTGTAGATACAGTAGATATTTTGGATGTGTTAATGAATTAAACATTTTAACAGAAATGTAACCATTTTTAAATAAAATCCGAACATTTGAAAACAGAGTTTTTTGGAAGATTTGGCAAGAATAAAAAAGCTTACCCAGAAGAGAAAATTGAAGGTAAACAGGAGATACTTGAGGCAGATAGTTCCACATGTTTCCTTCTTCTCTTCGTACACACCCATTCTGCAAGACAAAATAACACCAAACATTTAAGAGGACCCATATCACTGTACACGATTTTCTGGTCCATGTTATTTATAATGCTGTTTCCTCATTAATAACATACAGAGTTGTGTTTTGGCTCATTCACGCTCAAAACAGATGTAGACAGACTAAAGGGTTACTCAAAAATGTGAAAATGAAACAAAACACAACTCCACTACTTCTGATGAGGCAACAACATTCTAACATGGCCTAAAGCTCCCAAGAGTCACAAGAGAATATCTGACTTTTAATATAGTTTTCTTGAGTTGCACTGGACTTGTTAAGGACAGGGAGCACGTTGCACTGTGGGAAAACCGTAAGAGTCTTCCACTAAATCTAGCTGCACCCTTTTTGACATTGCACTTGCTCCCTAATCAGCCGAGGAGAATGCTAGTGATGTTCCCTTTGTGTGCTTTAGGGGGTGCGTTTGTTAGCTTTCCAAGGACCCATAAAAGCGGGTGGGTCCACTTTGTTGCTGCTGGCTTACTGACCCGTGACCCCCCCGCGTGGCTCCGCTGCCACTTTGCTGACCAAAACCTTGCAATTTCATCCCGATTGAAAGGTTCTAGATTAGAACCTGAGAGCGAAACTGATCCTTGTGAGCTTTAAGCCATGTTAGAATGTTGTTACCTCTTCAAAAACATACCTGGATTTGTGTTTTGTTTTCATGTATGTTTCAGTAATCCAGCATTATTAGTCTATATCTCCAGAGCTCAAAATGCTCTGTTCCACCTTGTGATGTCAAGAAGTGGTGGGCTCCAAGATGACAGCAGTTTTTGTTAAATAGACATTGGAAATTCCAGGGCTGAAATTATCCAAATTATTCTGGTGAAGGTGTGTGGAGTTAAAAAACACAGTGGAGCACTTTCTGTATTACCACATCATAAGGTGAACCAAGTGTTTTTGGTTTGAGCAAAATGTGTCTTGCCCCAGTACTAGTGCTGGGTATGGTTCAGAAGTTGCCGAAACGATACATACCTTGATGCCTAGGCCACGTTGTGATACATATCTGAATACAGTGAGCTTTTGATAAGATTCAATATGATATATTTTAAATTGATTCGATATGTTGCAATAAAAAATAAAGGCTAAATCATGGCTGTGACACTAAAAGTCTTTGTTAAACAACTTCTTATGCAAAGTTCATATAAAACACAAACATTTTAATCATCAAAATAGTAAAAATGTCGAACAAGTTTCCTTCCTCTAAACAAGCAACAAAACTCTAGCACTGTAACAAACTAATTTAATAAAATATACTCTTGGCGATATATCAATCCAGCAGCGCATGATAACAATACCGAATCATCACATCACTAGTGTTATGCTCCTATATAAATGTCAGTGTTTTATGTCATGCTTGTGTTTGTCTATTATGATGTGTTTTATGTTCTTATATTCTTGTCTCTTATGTCTCTGTCTCTATCTCTCTGACCTGCCAGGACTAATTCTGGCATATTTACAAGTGTATGTTCAGGAATATGCATTGTCCCTTTTAAATAAATAAAACAAATCAAAACCAAAAAAAAAACTAAAAACATTAAACAATACGATATATTGATATTTCAATATTTTTGCACACCCCTACCCAGTACAGATGTTTTGTATAAGCAGCTTGATGTCAAAGTACATGTCTGCTGTGCAATGGCGTAATAATAATGTATGTTAGCATGCTAGTTGTTTTTAGCATTGGCTCTCTCCTCTGAGAGTTGTGAAAAGAGCTTCTAAACTCCACTGCAGTGGGTAATTAGGATGTTCCAAAAGCAGAAAGTAAGTTGGGAATAACTTTTAATCACTGTCAAAATGAACTAGTTCTGTTTTTCACGGTTTTAAAAGAATAAATATCGACAGTTTTGTCGTAAGTACAGCTCTTCTACCCACGGATTTAGGTTAAACTATCACTTCAGCTCTCGCAGCCCCTTCTTAAACGGCCTCCTCCTCTCATGAGCCGTGAGTCATGGCGGATTCTGGATGAGTTTACAATGGGAAACTGTGGCTCCACCTCTGTTTACCTCACCGCTCTTCCAGACAGCTCCGCTCGTGTCCGGACTCGCCTCTCCTACTGCTGACTCCGGTGCTAACCCAAGTTACCATCTGCTCCTGCCCCCCTCCCACGCATTCGCCTCGTATACTCCACAGTTTGCTCTACGCTGACTGACCACCTCCTATCGAGCTCCTGTTAATTAAACACAAACAGCACTTAATGGACTGGCTTCCTTTTCAAACGTTTGAACCACAGCTGAGTCAAGGAAACGGTTTTGTCTGTAAATCAATAACAGGAGGCAGGGATGGATGAAGAATCACATGGCTTGAGTTGGAGATGTAAACTAGGAAAGTCTTGTAATTCCAGCCTTTCATCCATCTAAGAATGACCAATCAAACTGTGGTCTGGAGCCAGTTTGGATTAATACAGTATGCTTAATGTCTGATCCAAGAAATACAACTACTGTACCAAGATCAGTCCTATCTGTATTGATACTGAAAAATTTGCAAGATCGGATATCGGTTTCCAAATATGGATTCTGTCGATACCCTGGACATATACTAGCCAGGCTGGCGCCACCTAGTGCCGCCGCTCAGTTTCATTTCTCTCCAGCAACTAGGTCAGGAATCAAAATACACTAGACTGTTCACAAAAACCCAGAATTCGGGCGAATTCGGGCACCAGCCAATCAGTGAAGAGTCATATATTCAGTGTTGTCAACAATTCCGAGATCGAGGATTTAAAGCTGGAACAAAGAGAATGTTTGGTGAATTTCATCAAGGGGAAAGACGTTATTGTCCTTCTTCCAACGGGATTTGGGAAAAGCTTAATATACCAGTTAACCCCGTTAGCAGCGCATTACATACGTCACGACCAAATAGCAGCGATTGGTTAAATGATAAAAGTACCCGCCTACCGTCGAGTGAACAAATTCTAACACTGCGAGGTCAGACGGTTTCTACGAAATGAAACCAGCTGATGAATCAGGCTAGACATACAGAGTATCCCAAAAAATTTGACATAATTTCACAGGCCAGTAACTTTGGCAATTCTTGTAGAAATAGCCTCCAATTTTCACAGAATGTATAGAAACAGATCAAGATTTTATATTTATTAATGCTTTATTTTTGTTCTGTTTTCAGGTTCACTCCCAAAGAGAAGTCATTTTGCAACCTGGAATATGCTCACACACATATGTTGTCTTTTGGCACTGGATAACGAGCCTTCCTTTTTAAATTTTTGGTACCAAGTCCAAATTTGTTTGCCAGTTGGTGAAGTTTTTCCAAATGTTGCATTGAAGGCTGCACAGTCTTGGGTGAGTGTGTGCGAGCAGATTCCACGACGCAAAATAACTTCTCTTTGGGAGTGAACGGCTCAACCTGAAAACAGAACAAAAATAAAACATTACATATAAAATCATGATCTGTTTCTATAAATTCTGTGAAAATATGAGGTTATTTCAACAAGAACTGACAATATTATTGGCCTGCGAAATGATGACTTTGGGACACCCTGTACATTGACATAATAAAACTATTTACTGGTCGTACTCGAGCCAGAAAGTCTCACAATGTTTAACTTTTTTTTTTTTTTTTTTTTTATAAACACAAAGCTGTTCTGTAATTGCATAACTGATAAATAACAGCTACATAACATATTTATCAGTTATGTCTTATATTATTGTTGTTTCAGGGTCTGCACTTAATCGATACTTAACAGATATAGTATCGAAATCGGTATCGGAAATGGAAAAGATGGAGCAGTGCGTCCCTAGTTACAGGTTTCCCTAGGCCTGTCACAATAAGTACTATTTCAGCTTACTCTTCAATATATATTAGATGGAACAAGAATTTTTGGGGCTCAATATTTACCGTGTGCACTTTTTCTTTGTACTAGTGGGAAACCTTTTGTTATTTTTCTATCCTACGACTATTCCAGGCCTCGGGCAAGCAGGCACACGGATTTCCTTGCACTGTTTAGTATATTTATTGTATCTTAGCTTACATTACTACTATTATTCAATGTTTTTGTTGCTCATTTGTAAATTCTGTTCACCGACAATGGCAATAAAACTTCGGCTTCTGAACATTTCACTTTCTATGACAACTAGAGACAGAAAAAACATCAGAGCAAATCATCAGGCAACCAATACCAATATATTAGGCTTGTCACAATCACATATTTTCAATTAAAACTGAGAACAGTGATGAAGGGCCCTTGCAACTTTGGCTTGACATGTGATTAAAAATTGCTGCTGTCACACTGAAGATAAATGCTTTTGTCCCACTGTAATTTTGAAGAACGTGCTGGAAAATTGCTAACGATAGAACTCTAATCCACAGATCATTATGTTCAGGGAATATAAATATACAAATACTCCATTCGGTCTATTTCTTAAGCCTGAAAAAGTATTGCATTTTCTTATACTGAACAATAAATCAAAATGGTAACTATTATGGTCAAAATGAAAAAAACAAAACAAAACATATATATAACCTTGTTTATCCCTAGTATTAATTATCGTCTGTGTTTCCATTCCCTCAAGGGCAGATGGAGCTGTGTCTGTCTGGAGCATGTATGACACAATCTGTAAATTGAGGTTGGTGAGCTAAGGGCTGTCTCGTGTCGTACCCTTCAGATTACCATGGGCAAGCACCTGGAGCGCTGCCAGAAAGGGTTTTCACTATATTAAGTGCAGCTATAGCATTACACCATGGGCTTTATGGGAAGAGAAATGTGCTTCTAGTGATGACTGCAGTAGGCTTAGCGCATGTACAATGAGTCAAAGAAAATGTTAAAATGACCAACTTATTTTGATTTGTGCTCAGACTATGGAATGCGTATGATCAAGCAGGTCTCCACTGTGCAAAGGTACTTTTACAAGAATTTTATTGGAAAAAAATGTAACTGCAAAATGTCTAGCTCTGAATATGGCAATAAAACTAGAGCATCATCACCTATACTTACTGTAAAACTTGTGCATTCCAACACCTACATTTATTCACTACTGTTTGGTAAGCAAATGTTTTGGTTTTGGAATCACATGGTTGAAGCAGGACTGGACAATTAATCATAATAATTTGTGTTTTTAATAAATCCAGATTTAGAAAAATTTCTAAATCATGAACATTATTATGAAACAAGTTTACTCCTGAGTTTCTTACTTGCAAAGCAGGGTTATTGTGCAATTACAATTACATATTTATACTAATGTAATATAAAGGTGGTTTACAATTTCTTAAATAATAGCATAAGTTAAGAAAAAAAATTTAAAGAGCTTCTGGCATTCGAAAGACTAGAAAGCCCTGCTCTGACTCTGATTAAAATCCATCAAAATCATGATTGTGTAATGGAGAAAAATATATAGTATATAATATTTAATAAAAACAGTAACAGACAACAGACAAAATCTGACCCAAGTCATCTAATTAAGCACTAATATAAGACCACACAGTGATGTTAAATAAACTACTACTTTTCTTGAAAATGGGTTTATATTGTGTTTTAAATAATCATTGTATTGACAGAATTTTTCTTAATATTGACAAAGAGTTTGAAATATTTGTATTGTGATTAGGGTTGTGGTCCTTTTGCCAGTCAATACTGTCTTTTAGGAATTTATACGGGACAGCAACAGTGAGGTAGTGAGTTAGCTGAAGATTTGAAGAGAATGAGTTTAATCAGAATTTTTCATTAAAAAAAATAAAAAATTCAAAATTCAAAAAATCATATATAGTACTTTTTCGTTTAGATAGTTGTTTTTGCATGATTGTCCTTTTTGTTGTCTTTTGAGTGCAGATCTGGTAAGATAGATGGTCAGATTAAAGAAAGATATGCAATAGTTTTGAGAGTTTTGTCACGCACCTCTTTTTCATGAACATCACGGTTGCATGATATGAGTGGGCGACTAAACATGGAGTTATGACAACTTTATTATTACTGTCTGGGAAATAAATACGTGGATTAAGGTAAAACAAGACTATATCCATGTAAATGTGAGGATTAGCCACAGCTCTTTACTTCACAAGTCTGTGGCACTGATTAGCCTCAACTCTACATATTTTTTGTGATCCGTCTCAGAAACTGTGATTTATTTTTATCTACTTATATGAAGTAACAGTGATTATGAAATTCTTCCTCTCGTACGTCTAGTCACAGCCTATCTCTCCTGTTTTGAAGGTCATTCTGGGGTTTATTTTGTTCATGCGCAGTGTGCTACAGAAGCTTGCTTAGATCAAAAAGTCTATGCTGGGCCAGATCGAGACCGGTTAGCGTACATTACAAGCAAACCGCACTGGTGCACTTTCACCCAGCCCAAAGAAACCAAACTCACAGTTATTCTGAACTCGAGCTCACATGAAGCAGACCAAATGGTGTAGGTGTGAAAGTGTTCTAATTGATCAGCAAGACATGTCTTTAGTTTAGTCAACCAAGAACTTCTTTAGTGAACTATAGCCCTAATTGTTACAGATGGGATAAGATCTCGTGGGACAAAATCTCACATGCACACATGAGAAAAATTATCTTGTGAGATTCTTTCACTCTAAATTTAACTCTGAGTTAAGAGCTGGTGAGTTATACAATTTGAGAAGTTGTAGTTCCAAAAAGCAGAATGGCCGCTAAAGTGTGCACTAACTATTTATTACAAGTGATGTCAAAATCTCAGTTCGTCTCGCTCTTGTGGACCTAATTTTGTGGTGTGGCTCATCTTGTGAAAATAGTGTCTTGTCCCACCCCTACTAATCGTGAATAAAAATTGTTTGACTAAATGAATATTGTAAATCTAAAGAAATGCAACATTATTAACCAATAAACTTTAAAATATTGTGCCTGTAAATGTTCTAAATAGGTGATATTAACAAATTAATAAAGTTTTTTTTTTATACTGCCAATATCCTAGTGTCTTTCTTTTATAACAAAGGTGTTTTAGAGTTTGTTTTTAGTCTATTTTTTGTCAACTAGTCACGATAAGTCAATTAAGCTTTAACTGTGATAACAATAATAGATGGAAACATAGAAAGCAAAATCAAGATCGTAAAACTCGAAACACACCTTTGAGCTATAAATGTGCTGTTTATGATACGACAAACTTGTTTACTATAATAATAGGCTAAATTCAGCATTGTAGTCCACTCATTTCCCTATCTGTGTATAAACAATTAGTCACACCTTTTCTACAGTAATTAAAATAATTTTCAGCATACCTGCTCAACAACGGGCAGTGTCTCTACTCATGAGTCACACATGAGCACCTGTGACCTCACCGGACCTGAGGCAATGCAAATACCACAAAGTACCAAAATGCACAATACTGGCCCTAGAGCAACGTTATATGAGTAGTTTCGTCTCAAATGTAGACACTTTCACGCAAAATGGGAAAATTATTTAAACAGGTTGCTCAGGTTCCTTGCCTGAAGAAACAATGTCTGGTTAGGTCATATATTACGCAAAATTAAGTCTTGTGACTGTTTAAGCCATGTTATAATGTTACCTGATCATCAACATACCTGAAGTTTTTTCATTCACATGTTTGTTTGTCTACATCTTCAAATCTCAAAATGATCTGATCAACTTTGTGATATCCTGGAGTGGCAGTTTTCAAGTTAAGACACCTTTTGTTTATTTGAGATTGGCAATTCCAGGGCTGAAATTATCCAAATGATTCTACTGAAGGTGTATGAAGTTTAAAAACACAGTGGAGCACTTCCTGTATAACCACATGACATCACAAGTTGTAACAGTGCATTTTCTGTTCAAGAGAAGAGGATCCAGATATGTTTTTGATGTGGAAACAAAACTATAATATACAGCAGATCAGAAAATAACATAATACGGACCGTTTAAATGGAATCAAAGTTTAACCACAAAACTCACAAGTCTTGTAAAGCACATTTTAAAAGTTATGTACATCTATTTCTATCCTATCACTTTAAAAATAAAAAGCAATGCTAAAGTAGGGTGACCAGATGTCCCTATTTAGCCGGGACAGTCCCAGTTTTGAGCCCTGTGTCCCCTGTCCCATCAGATTTATTTAAAGAAACAGTGATTTGTCCTAGTTTTATACAAGAAATGTCCCAGGAGTCCCTATTTTTGACCAATCTAATCCCTGCCAATAGTAAAGAGTGTCATTTGTTTAGGTGATATACAGAAAAGCTGCTTAGAAATGACCAAAACACAAAGAAAATATGACTATAGTGACTCACGTTAGTCATGAATGGGCCAAGTGCAGAACTATTTTCCTTAATTACACGCTCGTTTCACTATTTTATTATCACCAATCACCCAAAACTAGGCATTTATTTAGAAAAGCTGGTCACAGTATGCTAAAGAAATTTATTTTGTTGATGATGCCTTTATTTTGAAACCGTGACCCAGCCGGACATTTTTTCCATTATTTTGTGTGTAAGGTAAGCTAGCGCTGTACTTTTCATGATTTAACCACAGTTCTGTAAATTCCCACAAAATCACAGCGGTACATCGATAGAAAAACGTCTAACTCCGCACAAAAAGTAGGATAACTTGTAGAGAAAGCGTAAAATCTTGGAAGTTAATCGTTCAGGGGGGGTTCGCGAAAGGTGCTAGCTTGTTCGATAACGCCCGCTGCACGTAGCCACAGTTTCACCTCCGTGCGTGACCAAAGCGCGTCGTCATGTACGTACCTGTCTGCGCTCGAGTCCTCTCACTTATCGGTTAAAATAATGAATGAAAAATCTTCCAGAAGCGGCCCGTTTTCATTCCACTGTCCTCCCCGTCTGCGTGCACTGAAGCTGGGGTGAACTCTGAGGCTGTCCCGTCCCCCCCCCTCCGCAGTCATCGAGGCAGGGCAGGCTCCACCCCGGACACGGACGAGCGGAATCTGGAGACCCCGCAGGCTGCACTCCGAACACCGCACTCATATAACCCCCTTTTTTCCTGTCTGGTTGAATCAATGTTTACTTTTTACCATTAGACATAGACGAAAAGGTTAAATGAAAAATCCATGACCTATCAGAAGACAAAAATACCTAAAATTATTGGTATAATGTGTAAAAGTCATATAACTAGTCCAGTCTATAATAACTCTATAATTCTCTCATTTTGCCATATTTAAATTATTGTGTAGAAATTTGGAGGAACAATTACAAAAGTACTATTCAACCCATATTTATACTGCAGAAAAAAAAAGTCATAAGAATTATTAACTTAAACTTAAAACAATAAGGCCAGGACTAACACCAAAGGTAGATGTCTCCCAATCTTTTTCCCAAACTTTTTTTTCTGGAGACCCATAGTTTAAAAGTCACAAGCCCTCACAATCCAAGTCAATAGACAATATTCATAAATCACAAAATAAAGGTGGATTTGACCATTATTGAACATTAATGATGATATTTTACTGACTGAGTGATCGTGTCTCTGAACAATTAGTATTACTCAAGTTTTAAACAATGAAAAACAGTCATTGAAGCAACAATAAAAGGATCCATAAGTCGCCTATTTGGACATTAAATGTAGAACATTTCTTTTTCTTTTCAACATTCACTTGAACTAGCAATATTGGAACAAAATAGTCACTAGTTCTCCCATGTGTCAGAATTGTATATCACAGACTTAACATACAGATCGTGACAAAGCGACCCCAAAAAATCTCTTGTGACCCACCTGAGGGTTGCGACTCAGTCTTTGGGAAGCAATAAGTTAGAGGAGTAGATCTATGGAATAGTCTGGATGACAGGTTAAAAGGATCAACATCAATAAAACCTTTTTTTATTATTATTACAAATTAAATTCTATAGACAAATACAATGCACTAGAATGATTTAAAGACATATTCTTACTACATAGAGAGATAATAAGATAATGTGGATTCTGTAGGCTACAGAAACGGGTTAGTGTGTTGAATAAATGTTGATGGAAAAAGTTTTTTTTTTTTTTCTCTCTCTTAGGTGTAGGAAGTGAAATAGTTTACTCAAAAGAACTACTGTACTTAACTCATGAGTACTGTTATTAGCATTATTGTATCTGTATATATTTTCTCTGTTCTGTCCAAGTTGTTCTTGTTGTTTAAAGACAATCGTATTCTTGGCATCATCATTGTAAACAGGGTTAGGCATTCATAAGTCATTTCACTTCAGCCTAAACCCCTTCGGTCATAGTTTTATGTGAAATGTTTATAACAGTCTATTAAGTACATGATTAAGTACATGACTGAAGAAAATCAACTACTACTGCTACTACTACTACTACAGTTAAAGTATTACAGTGACAAAGTTACATTTTTGATCATCGCTGCAATTTTTTGATTATCCTTTCCTGACACCATGAACAGGAACATTTAGTCACTATCACACCACAAAAATGTTCCACAGTACAGCATTAAACTCATATAGCTTGCATTTTTTACAGCTACAGTTTTAATGTTTTTATTGCCTTTACAAACATGTATTCTTACTCTGAGGGGTGTCACCTCTCCACAGATCTGACATTGCAATAGTTGGGTTTTAAATGACATCACAGAATTCTATAAACCTATATTATTTAATACAGATGGGGGCAGCTAAAATTAATATTGTTCATCTGTAGATTTTTGTTGTAATACAGCGTGGTCTTGGGTCCAGGCAATAACAGAAATGATCAGGGTCCATATTTGTGAGTATACCTTTTAGATATTTCATGGTAAAGTACAGTGTAATCAATAGGAAAATCTGTCTCTCACCCCCCTCCAATGTGTGGAACTTTCTAAACGAAGCAATAACTTCTACATGGGGACAAGCAGGTGGCGGACAGTCTGCTAGATGTTTTGTGCATTTAAATTGAAAAGTGTATTTACAATGATAGTACAAATTACCAAATGTCCTGATGCTTTTAAAAGCATATAATAACATTTTTTGTGCATGTTTTATTTAGTATGTATATATGCAATAACACCACATTTTCTTTGAGACTCAGGATTTTCTGCTGTTGTTCCAGGGCAGGGTGCCTCTTCTGGGCCAGTGATGTCCCTCTGGGCTGCTCCACAGTTTCGTTGGGAGGATTTTTCATTCCCCTCGGCTTCTCTGGTTGGTCCTTGTGTGGAGGTGATGTGGCTGTGATTGTGAATAACTGATGATATTTCTTTTTTATTTATGTTTATTAAGGACATCACGGTCATATTAGACAAGCCAGATGCATTGTTTTGAGTGTTTTAGCTCAAGTGCTATTTTTCAACACCTGTCCGTAGAAAAAATATAAGCTACATGCATAAAAACAGACAAGAGACATTCATTACATACAGATAAGATATATACAGCATTATACATTTTCAGTGAAAGCATTTTTTTGTTGGAAACATACAATAATTTTAATTTACTTTTAAATGTGTTGATATTATTTAAATCAGCAGGTTGCAGTTCCACAGTCCGGGCCCCTTTGGCAGAGAAAGAGACTGACCACGAGTCCTGTACATAGGAACAACATAATTACCACTAGTAGTTCCTCCTATAGTAGCTCTGTGTGTACATTTTATGGTCCTGGCAAATTCTGAATTCAGTAGTATATTGGGGTTAATACACTTAAAAATAATTGAAGGTTATTAAAACTGGTAAACTTTTCAAATTTAAATAGGTTATGTGTCTTTAAAATTTCACAGTGGTGCCAGTGTTTGGGTTTTTTGTCAAGGACCTTAAGGGTCAATTTGCAGAGGTGGGACTTGCAGGTCGTGACTTAGACTTGAGTCGGACTTGAGGCACTATTTTTAGGATCTGAAACTTGACTTGATAAAATGGACTAAGACTTGGGACTCGACTTGGACTTGAAGGTCAGTGACTTGGGACGTGACTCGAAACTGAGCTCTGTGACATGAAAAAATTTGATTCTTCTCCTAAAAAAAATATATGGTTTTTGAAAATACTTTTCTCTTCACAGTTGATAAATGCTGTGCTTAATTTTACAGGAACAAACTGGAACATGTCCCTCCTACTTCTGTGTTTGTTACTTTGGATGGAACTTTTGTGGTGTTACCTGCCAAGGGACTACAGAGGGAAATTAGCAGTCTTGCTATAATCTGGCATATTTACACTGCAATGTTGTAGATGTTCATTAATATGCACTGTCCCTATTAAATAAATAAATAAATAAAATAAAGTACTGTGAGATGTATCCTCAAATGTATTACAATAATATACAGTACAATACAGTAAAACAGAGGAACTACAAAGAACATGATCCTTCCATTTCAGTGCAGACTACATGACAAAAATAACTGTTATTAAGCACTTTTAAATCTTATTTCTTTCTGTTCTGACCATATTGATTCACACTAAGATTTTGTCAAGACATTTAAAAAAGAAAAAATAGCATTTCTACAACTCTTATATAAGCTGTATTTGGTACTTTGGTTTAAAGAAATAACTTGACGCTCAAAGCAGACGATGTGGACTTGGATTTATGAGCTACTGACTCGAGACTCAACTTGGACTTACCTGTATTTGACTTGGGACTTGATTCGGACTTGAGGTCAAAGACTTGAGACTTACTTGACACTCACAAAACAACGACTTGGTCCCACCTCTGTCCATTTGTATAATAAACAGAGAGATTTCAATGTGGCTGAGACGTGGGTTCATGAGCTGATACAATAAGATAAATGTGAGAAGATCAGATTTCGTGACTTTATTTCTAAATCAGACTATCATTCAACTTTTATCTTTAAATGTTTTGTTTGTGAATAAACAGAAGCCTGGTCAAGCTGCTGTATGACAACGGTTTTGATGCACTGGCCAATGTGAACCAACACATACGAACCACAAGATGGAGCCATACTTAAGTGCATTAAACTTTTCCTAGAAGTATTACCAGCACCCAGAAATGTGACAGGAAAAGCCAATGAGAACATCTTCTGGCTAACTTTACATCCTGTTGGTTTGTTTAACAAAATACCCCAAATTATTTTGAGGACTTAAATTGTTACTTCAAAACTTACTACTACACAGCAAAAACTGGAGGGTTAAAATTTCAGAGTAAAATATTTCAGAGTTGTTTTTAACTCAAAAATTGTTATTTTAACTATTTGAAAGTTAAATGAGGGTTTGAGTTAAGGTTATTTGAGTTGATATGGTTGAAGTTAAATCAGTTTTACTTAGTGTTAATTCAACTTCCAGTAGTGTTAATTCAACTTCCACTATTGTTAATTCAACTTCCACCAGTGTTAATTTGTCTCCTCCCACCCACCACTTCAAACTCCCGCATGAGAAGACCAGTTTGAACCAGCTTTGTTCATAATTTCATCTTAAATTAACTACAATAAAGTGTAAAAATAAAACACCTCTGTGTGTTGTTTATCTAAATCAGGATAACTCTACTTAACCGTTTACTCTCAAAACGTTAATATAACTCTTGATTTCAGGGTTAAACAGGAATTTTGATCCAGTGTTACTTTATTAACATTTCCAAAAATGTTAAATTAACTCTAGAACAGATTAGACTAATATAAACTCTGACAAAATGTTAAAACTGATTCTGTGTCAATTTTAACACTTCACTTTTTGCTGTGTACTACTTTGATTAACATTATTATTAGTCTTAGATGAAGTAAAAAGTAGCACTCTAGATTGATAAGTAGTTATATAAGTAAGCTAAAAAATAAAATGCAACCAAAATAGGCCTACTGCTTATTTAGATTTTAGAATTGATGTGACCACCAGACAAAATATTTCCAGAAAATGTTATGGTATATCTTGACAAAAAGGAGGAAAAACCAAATGATCTCAAATGGAAAAACATACTTGGAGTCGTGCTGTGTTAAATTCAAACATGTTTAACACAAAAACTCAGCACCCATTTCATCTCTGGAA